CAAATGTTCCCGTTCTGACATGTAAGTATGGAACAAATTGCTTCCCCTTAATTCTAATATAATAAATAATATTATTAATAATATTAATTATCTCCTTATATTGCTGCTGCTCCTGCCATGTAGTTCCAATCATCTATTATAATATCTATATATACCAGCTCTGTAAACATCTGCTTATTTTCAGCCTTTGAGAAAGAGATGGTGACCGCAGTTGCAGGACTGCAGGTTACCATCGATGGTATGGCAGCTGAACAAGCAACTCAAAGAAAGCTTATATCAGCAAGCTGCTAGAAAAAACTGGAGGTGGCTGCACTTCATCTGAGTTACCGGGCGATGTCCTTCTGCCATTGCAAACTATTGAGCAGGTGGAGGAGCTTGAACTCCTACTTCAGGAGCCAGCACTGAAAAATACGTTGGTGAGCCACAATTTCTATATTTTTTTATCATCATGATATAAAGGGAGGGTAAAGGTATATTTATATAGGAGCATAGCGATTCATTCGTCCCACATCAGAAATCACAATCCTAGAAATGAAGTGAAAAACATTAGCTCCCTGTTTGCATAGCAATATACATTATAGGTTCAATTCTGGCAGAAAAAGTAAATAAATAGCTTATTCTTATTGTATTGTATTTGATATGGTGTCAAACATAGGGCAGTATTTGAACTATATTGTAAATAAGATATATATCCATTTATTAAATATGAACGGAATTTTTAGCGGTAAAAAATGAAAATGCATTTAATAAAAAGAAACTGTGCATATATATCGTTATAGCTAGCTTATATGCAGAAAAGAAGGCATATTATCATATAATTTTATTTATAGATCGCCCACTTGGCAATGATTGGAGGGAGCGACCTGAAGGACGCGGTGCGCCGATCAATGAATCACGTGCTAGCGCACGAGGTTGCCCTTCTGTACAACTGGGCTGGCAAGAGTGGCTGGAAAAGCTGCACGACTGAAAGAAAGCATGCATTTGGGAATTTGCAGCTATGTTTTGCCATTACAAGTAGGTACATTACAAGTATTACCCTGTTAGTGGTGTTACTGTAACGTCCATGACATGCATGCATTTTCAGATTTTTTCCTGGACCTTAAATCTTGCATATAATTAACGTCACACCTGTTATGCCTGTTCTCTTCTTGCGGTATTATATTATGTCCAGTTTTTTATATCATTAAGTCCTCATTTTTGTGTATGCCTGGATTCTGCTTTTTTTCCCCTTTACCATTTTCAAAGTGATATTATATTGTCATGTACTTGTCATGCTAGATACAAATGTAATAAGTTCAATTGTCATTTTGTACTCATTTTCATACATCTGAATTATTTGATATTTAGGAGCCATTGTGAAGAACCCCACAATATCTGCAAAGACAACAGAGGCCGCAGCACAAAAAGAAATTATGATCTGGTTAAGGAATGCAGGGGATAGGAATTGTGGAAGGAAGAAGAGGGAAATGATGAAGGCGAAAGAAAAGAAAACTAATGAATTGCATGAAGACTCTGATGCATCATATGAGTAATTGTATTGATGGTCCAGCAGGAATTGCGTGATTGGCATTACTGTGTATGTGCGTGTGTGCGGGCGGATGTGTGTATAAGTCAGTATTCATATGTGATATTTTATCACTGGTTTTATTTTGTACATTTCAAGTCGAGTATAGCAGACACGCCAACGTTAACATACAGTAAAACTCGCATAAGTCGTCATCGTCTGTCGGCACAAATATGCTGGTCCCAGAAGTGTCGACTTGTGCGAGTTTTACTGTATTTTACATTATGTTACTATTTCTTTTGCTATGTTATCTTTATAATTATGCCATATAATATATGTTGTACTAGTCTTATATGTGTATAGTGTATATAGTATGTTCAGTATTATTTTATTTGATGTGTAATATTTTGTACATTTGAAAATCTGCTAAAATTATTGCAAGCTATATATGTTGGCATACAGATCCCCGACATTTACTATTTTACATTATATTACTATTTATTTTGCTATGTTATCCTTATAATTATATGCTATATATCTTTTGTACTAGTCCTATATGTGTATAATTTTCAGCATTATTTTATTTGATATGTAATATGATATGTGATTTATTTTATTTGATATGTGATATTATTGACTATATGTTATCTTTAATTATATTAGTTACATTTCAGTATTTTATACATACATATATATATATATATATGTGTACGTGATATTTTATTATATTTTTTCTATTACTCTATATTCCAGTTTATACATTTTTTGATAAAATACCTACAAATCGGTGTAACCAGTAATTGTGTATAAAACTGATTATTGATTATTGATATCTGCTTGTTGGTCATTATAATTATAGCACTGCTCATTATTATAATTATAATGCTGCTCAATATAATATTTAATAGACCACTGGGCCAGTGCTGGCACAATACTGGGCCGCTTCTGACCCTGTACGGGCCCAGTACTGGCCCAGTACAGAAAAGCCCAACACTGGGGCTATTACCGTATGACGGTACCGGCGCAATACAGGGCCAGTATAGTGCCATACTGGGCCAGTAATGGCACGCGGTACTGGCCCAGTGCAGCGCCGCTGTGCAAGACGGTACCGGTCCAGTACTGGCATTCGGTAATGGACCGATTGTGCAGCCAGTACTGGGCCAGCATTGGCCCAATACTGTCATGTTTGCTGGGTAGTAGACTACATCAGGACATTGTCTCATAAACAGCAGAGGAGGATGCCCAAATAGTAGACTACATCAGGACATTGTCTCATAAGACGAAAGAGGTACACAGCAGAGGAGGATGCCCAAATAGTAGACTACATCAGGACATTGTCTCATAAGACGAAAGAGGTACACGGCAATGGAGGATGCCCAAATAGTAGACTACATCAGGACATTGTCTCATAAGACAAAAGAGGTACACGGCAATGGAGGATGCCCAAATAGTAGACTACATCAGGACATTGTCTCATAAGACAAAAGAGGTACACGGCAATGGAGGATGCTGTTATTGTCGACTATATCAGGACATTGTCTCATAAGACAAAANATCCGTAGCTACACCTTCCTCCGACACCACGTGACCCAAGAATGCAGCCTTGCGACGGAACAGGTGGCACTTACTGGGCTTAACCTTTAGGCCAAAGGACTCCAACCGCTGCAGCACCAGGCCAACCCGCTCAATCATGTCATCAACTGAGGCCGCATAAACCATGATGTCGTCCTGGTACAGAAGCAGTATCTCATATGCCTTGTCGCCCAGACACAGCTCCATCAGTCGCTGAAATGTGGACGCCGCATTCACTAGGCCAAAGGGCATTCGTGTGAATTCCCACAGGCCCCCAGTTCCTGCCCTGAATGCTGTCTTCGGGATGTCCTTTTCATCCATAGCACACTGTAGGTATCCCGATGCCAAATCCATCGAACTGAAGTACTTCGCCCCCTTCAGTGCCTCAAGCGCCTCTTCCACTCTGGGTAGGGGGTACGCATCCCGCAGCGTCTTCTTGTTCAAGAGCCTGAAGTCCACACACAGCCTCAGGCTCTGGTCCTTCTTCCTTGCCATCACCAGCTGGAAGGCGTACGGGCTGGAACTTGGGCGAATGATCCCCTTTTCCACCCAGCCCTCCAGGTGACGCTTCACCTCAGGCTGAAGATTCGGGGGTATCCTCCGATGGGGGAGACGTATGGAGACATCATCCTCTGTCTTGATGGTGTGCTTGACCCGATCACAGTATCCCAGATCCTCATCTCCCATCAGAAACACCGATCGGTACCTCCGAAGCATCTCTTCCAGCTTTTCACGTTGTACCGCGTTTAACTCCGCAGCACCACAGTCGAGCTGACTCATCAACTCTGTGACGTCATCATGGTTCTCATCCTGACCCCCCAAGACTATCTCTGATGACGTAGTCCTCACGGTTACCACTTTATTCACCGCAGATGCTCCACGGACTTGACCCACCCTTGATTTAGGGTTTAACACAACTTCCTCCTCGCTCAGATTAGCGATTGCCGCTTCCACGTGCCCCGCCCTGACATGACACAGGGTTGGCAACAGCATCACATTCCTGGGCAAGCCACCGCTATCTACACCCAACGGCTCCACCACGCCCTCATAGCTGGCTACACCCCCCCCCCGGGTGATCAAAGATACCACCCTGATGCTTCTAGCTGCAAGGCGTACGACACTAGCTCTGGGAACCCGAACAAAAGCAGCTGGTGGCGTCCTCTCAGCACGCGCACTGCTGACCGCAGCCTGCTCATGGCTGCGCAGTGCCTGCATCCAACTCCGCCTCTCCGAGACAGACCCAGCACCACTCCGCCACTTCCCGGCACTATCAATCTCACAGGGCATACGTTGCAGGATATTGCACCCAATGATCCCTGGCAATCTCTCCAGTCGCTTCCGTTCCTCAGGTGAGGTAGGGTCGCGAGACACCAAAAACCCCATCTGCGGAAACACCTGCCCACAGGCCTCGACATCCAGTTCGATGTATCCCAAGTAGGGAACTTCAAGGCCATTGGCCGCCCTAACCCTAAGCCACGGCAGATCAACTAGCTCTCCCGCCAGGCCAAACCGCCTCCTGAAGAAGCTCTCGGTTATGAGTGACACCTGCGACCCGCTGTCCAGTAAACACCTCACTCCCACACCGCCGATCTTCACCTCAGCCTCCGGGCAGGGTGCCATGCCCCGCTCCTCAAAACTGGCTTGACTAGTGTTTCCCGAGCCATTAGTGGCCCCTCCTACTGCACGGCTCAGCACTGTAGGGGGTCGTCGTTTCCCGGTTCCTTCCTGGAGTGGTCTCTCAGCTTAGGGCAGGCGTCTCGGTAGTGGTCGGGTGAACCACACTCGTAACACCTCCCTTTGCGTTGGGGACGCCTCTCAGGGCACTCTGCCTTGAAGTGACCAGTGCGGTGGCACTGGTAGCACCTCCTCGGGCCGGTGGACCCAGCCCGCGCTTCTGCTCCCCGATCTCTGTCCTGGCCACGGGTGACAGCCATCTCCCGTACCATCTGCTTGAGCTCGTCTATCTCACGCCTCCATTCTGGTACTGCCGGGCTCGATGCCTCGGTTGAATCAACCGTGGCGGATACCGCCTTAACTCCAGCACCTCTCGGCCTGGCGTCGTCGCCCCCCAGCCATCCTACCGCCCACTCCCGGAGCTCTGTAAGATCCCCCATGCTTTGCTCTGCGCGCACTCTCCGCAGTTCCCGTTGCAACCCCTGGTCAAAGACTCCCTCTGCAAACTGTTCAAGGAGGCGCACGTTGTCGACCTCGCCCCCTGACTTGTGCTGGAGGCTGCGCAGCGCCAGGGAGAACTCGAGCAGCGACTCCCCACTCTTTTGGGTCCGCCCGTAAAATTCCCCCAGGACCTTCCTGAGAGAGATAGACCTCCCAGTAGTACTGCGTAAATGCTGGCTGGCGTGCGCTTGGAAGGGTCCAGGGTGAGCTTGACCTCCTCCTTTGCCACCCCCTCCAGCCGGCTGATAAGGAAGTTAGCTTGCTGGGACTCGGGCACATTCCACCCCTCCAGCACCGCCTGGGCATCCGCGATCCAAGCAGAGAGACCCTCCGCGCCCGAGATGGTCCCCAGGCGTTGGTCTCGCTGTTCGACGACCACAGACGTCTTCAGGTCGCGTACCGCTTCAAAGCGGGTCTGCGCCTCATCCAGGTCCTGTCGCAGTTTCGCAGCCTCACTGCGCTGCCGCTCCACCTCTTCATCCCGGCTCTCCAGCTGCAGCTGCAATGCCGCAAGCTTGGCACGGTCTTTCTCCGCCTGGGCCAGGCGCTCCTGCACGTCTTCCCCTGACATAGCGTTGGTAACAACCCGGATCACACAGATCACTCACCAACACACACTCATGCGCAGTTATGCTGGGCAAAAAAAATCACAAAACGGAGTCAACAAAGGCCCTCCTCACTTACAGTGGAGGGAGAAGTGGAGGGAGCTACTCACACTACAAGCCAGCTTACAACACATAACTTTATGTAGCGTACCCTTCAACAAGTTCACGGACCGCGCTCATTACCGCACGAGCTCAACACAAGAAAACAGTACAAATTACCACACCAGTGAATATGACACTGTGTGCAAATTACCACGCACGTCTTTCTGTACATTTAAACATTCGCGCACTCAGGAACGCTACTCAGGGACGCCTCTGCAGTCCTCGTCGCCGGCGCTCTGTCCCCAGCTGACTTCCTCGGACTCGTTCCGCTCTCGACTTCTCCACGTCACTTAGCCTCTCGGATGTCCACACCACTCCCTGCAATGGTGGTACCCTCAACTGTCGTATCTTGTCAGGATCGGCGCCCTCTGTCGACATCAGACTCGGCGCCCACTTCAGCTCTGCCGGGGGTCGCTTCAGTCGTGTACTTAGGCCTCTCAAGCCAGGCCTGCTACTATGTCACATGAACAACTCAGCCAACCGCTATCCCACTTCTGACACCAAATTTATGTGGGGCGTTATTCGTGCACAACAAAACACAACACTCGGATGACGGTGACTTAAGAGTTCATTCAATTGACAACAAGCAAAATGTCACCAACGACCGTCTAACCACATCACACAAACGACGTCGTTACGACTGTGCAGGCGACCCTGCAACATGTAAACAACGAAACACACCTTAAGTTTAAATGTAACATAGCATATGAGCAGTATATAGGCCAAATACATAAACTCGACATTATCCACCATTATAATCCAATATAACACATTATAACACAATATAACACATTATAACACAATATAACACATTATAACACAATATAACACATTATAACACAATATAACACAAGCATTGTCCCCTGCTGTGGGACCTATTTGCTTACCCCTACAGAACACTACTCCGGTAGGGCCACGCTCACTGCCCCGACATACACCGGCTCAGCATCACCTGCGTGTCACTGCAGAATAATAACAATAAACACGTGACACTTCATGCGAACACTTTAACGCAAACTCACAACACTAACTCAACAAAGTCACCCTTTTCAAATAACTATGCTACTAACATACATAATAATGACTACTGAGAGAATCTCCCCCCTCTTTAAGCAGTAAACACTCATGTAATAAATCGATCTGTCAGGATGCTTACATGAACTAAACCAAACACTGTTCGCCGCATAAAGTGAATGCACCATAATAACTCACTTCCATGGGAACATACTTATCAATAACACTATAAGATCCTTGAACACAGTTGCACTCTTAACAATACAACTTACAGTCTACATGCCACAGCGCACATCCCACTACTTATGTCACGGCCCCTAACGGGTTAACAGAAATCATACATGTGATTCAAAGCCCCATGCTATCCCACACTACATATTAACTCGTTCTTGACATTAACTAATAATAACCGCTCTTAACAGTAATATTTAACAACAGCCAGCTATATCTAAATAACAGCCATTCTTAACGATAATATTTAATAATAATATTACTCTGCGGCTGAACTTTCCTCACTCATATATATAGTAACCAGGGAGGCAAGCTATTAATAGCAACTTCCACACTCAACCGGACAAACAAAGACCCGATCAACTCACATCCAGTTAAGCTGGGAAATCCCCTACACACACACATCGAAAACTAACTGCTGGAGAATATTTGGCCTAAGGATAGAGAACATNTTATAATGTGATACATGTATGAACGATCCTAGCCACGCAATGCACAGACAGATAAGTACTGTTTTTGTTTACAAACAGTTGCACACGTTAACGAAGACAAAGGGTCATTGTCTGAATTTGTTATTCTTTACGCGAATAACAAAATCTCGTGGTTAAGAAATTGCAACCTTAGTTAGAATTGTTCTTCCTGGTGATTTGGTGTATTGCTTTGTTCGTACTTCATTTTTGTTTGCGTATGCGTATGCCTGCTTGAGCGAGGGCGTGCGTGTGTACATGTGTATAGGTTCGTGTGTGCCTATGCACGAGCATAATTATGTCACCCGGTGTGTACCTGTTGCGCGCGTGTGTGTGGTGGCCTACGTGCGCGCGTGTGTATGTACGTGCGCGCGTGTGTGCATGCGTGCGTCTAAATGAGTGTGTCGGTGTGTGCGTGCGTGCGTGTGTGTGGTGTGTGTGGTGTGTGTGTGTGTGGTGTGTGTGTGGCTGCGTGCGTGCGTGCCGTCCTCTCTCTCTGTGTGGTGGGTGTGCGTGTAGTGTGTGTGTGTGTGTGTGTGTGTTGTGGTCACAGGTGTGTGTGTGGTGGTGTTGGTGTGTGTGTGTGAGTGTGTGCGTGTGTGTGTGTGTGTCGTGTGTGTGTGTGTGTGTGTGTGTGTGTGTGTGCCGGGGGTGTGTGACGGACGGACGGACGAACGGACGGGCAGATGGATGGGTTAAAAGCCCGCCGCACACGGTGAACTATCTGCTGAGCCAACGGCCTAGCTCAAGAGGCTCAGCAGATAGCTCAGCATGTGCGCGCAAATTCTGCACGATTTTTGGCCTGCCTTTATATATAGTAACCTAGTTTGTCACGTAGCTGTTACGAGGCTCGCATTGGAATAGGGTTTAGAACAAACACTATAATATATGCTCGCATCTATGCTACCCAAAATTACAGACACATGCCTGTTTAAAAAATAACAGCTGTTTCAATGCTTATGTTAGATGAAGTTTACCACACAGGCGATGTGCTTGTGTGCATGCTAACCACTATTACAGACACATTTGTCTGTTTAAAAAACAACTGTTTCGATGCTCATGTTAGATGGAGTTTATCACATAGGCGATGTGCTTGTGTGCATGCTAACCAATATTACAGACACATATGCCTGTTTAAAAGATAATAGCTGTTTCAATGCTTATGTTAGATGGAGTTTACCACATAGGCGATGTGCTTGTGTGCATGCTAACCAATATTACAAGCATTTGTCTGTTTTTAATAAATAACCGACGAGCTGGTACCATAGCTGTTTCAATGATCATGTTGGAATAGAGTTTATCACAAAGGCTACGTGCGCCCATGGTCGCATCTATTCTACCCAATATTACACATATTTATGCCTGCCTTTATATAATAACCTAGTTTGTCACGTAGCTGTATCGATATGCTCGCGTTGGAATAGGGTTTAGAACAAACACTATATATATGCTCGCATCTATGCTACCCAATATTACAGACACATATGCCTGTTAAAAAAAAACTGTTTTGATGCTTATGTTAGATGGAGTTTACCACATAGGCGATGTGCTTGTGTGCATGCTATCCAATATTACAGACACATGCCTGTTTAAAAAATAATAGCTGTTTCCATGGTTATGTTAGATGGAGTTTACCACATAGGCGATGTGCTTGTGTGCATGCTAACCAATATTACAGGCATTTATGTCTGTTTTTAATAAATAACCCACCAGCTGGTCACATAGCAGTTTCGATGATCTTGTTGGAATATAGAGTTTACCACAAAGGCTAGATGCATATATATGCTCGCATGATCGCATCTATGCTATCCAATATTACACATAATAATATTATTGGTATTGGCCTGCGTGCATGCTACCCAATATTACAGACATTTATGTCTGTTTTGTTAATATAAGCCACCTGGTTACATAGCTGTTCAATGATCATGTTGGAATAGCGTTCACAACAAATGCAATGTGCTTGTGTGCATGCTACCCAATATTACAGACAATATTACAATGTATGCTTTTCTTTAATATAACACCTAGTTAAGTTCTAAACATAGTTGTTTCGAAGCTCATGTTGGAATATAGTTTACAACAAAGCTTCACGTGCATGCTATCAAATATTACAGCATTTTTGATTGTCTTTAAATAGTAATCTAGGCAGCGCCGGATTAACAGTTGCCTGGGCCGGGGGCATATCATATATTTGGGCCGCCCATCCACCCGCCCCTTCCCATAAGCATATAATGTTTTTCGACCTGTTTAGTGGATAATTATAAGCAATTAATATTGAAAAATGAAAAGGAAACGTTCGAAAATAATTAATAGAGTTACAATTTAAACAAAAACATTTTGACAAATTGGTACTTTTAACCCCACTAGCTACCTTAAAGCGAATATTATTCCTAGCTGCTGCAATGTACACCAGAAAACACGGAAAAAATGAAAACAAGTAGAAAGCAAAAACAAATGTAGTCATATGAAAGTGGTAGGGCCGGCCCAAGATAAAATAATAAACTAATTTCTTTTTGTAGTCACAACACTTTAGGGCCGGTCGACTTGTAGGGCCGGGGGCAAATGCCCCCTTTGCCCCATTGATAATCCGCTACTGAATCTAGGGGAGGGAGCCGAAGAGTGCTCGGCGCTTTCATAAAAGTCGTATGTGGAAGCCCGCCGTACGCGAACATCTAATGGTGGACGGCTAGCGGGTCGCCTCTATTTTCCTAGGGCAGGGTCAAATTTTCGCAAGGAATCACGTGAACATGCTAAACATTGCATGCTGAACATGCATTAAACATGCTAACTAATTTAACAAATGTAATTTGCACAAATGATACTGAAATTATTCGATAGTTACGGAAACAAATCTACATTGATGCATAATAGCGGCTGGAATATTCGCGCAAAAACACAGGCACACAAAGAACTACAGACAGAGCCACAGGCACAGCGCGCGCGCGAGAGAGCGAGAGAGAGAGAGAGAGAGAGCAAGAGAGCGAGAGAGCGAGAGAGAGAGAGAGAGCAAGAGAGCGAGAGAGCGAGAGAGAGAGAGAGAGCAAGAGAGCGAGAGAGCGAGAGAGAGAGAGAGAGAAAGAGAGAGAGC